ACACACACACCACACACACACACACACACACACACCAGAGACACACCACACACACACACACACACACACACACACACACCACACACACCACACACACACACACACACCACACACACACACACACACACACCACACACACACACACACACACACACATGCGTGCGCATTGGTGCATGGTCCTTAACTTGGCCTGATCAGAGAGAAGCTTGGTCTTTTAGTCCCACAGTTGAAGAAGATACATTCTCATTCACTGGTTGCCTCTCTCTATTTCTATCTTTCTGTGGGTGTTTCTCCATCTCTCCTTTTCTCTCTCTCCGTCTCTCTGCCTCCACCAGTCTCTTCTCCCCCTGCTTTTCTGTCTGCATTTTTCGGTAAATGAGGAATTCTGTGGGCACGAGAAACATTGGAAGCCGAGTGGAAACCACGAACTTTGGGAAAAAAGCTGAATCGGAGAGTCCCAATAAGAAGCGTGTTGAGAAGCATATTGAGTTGCTGGATCAAACCAGCTCTGAAAGCCTCATTGCCCCACAGAATTTCAGTCTTGTGAACCAATAGGACCACTGCCCTGTAAGTCACTGTAGTTCATTTTCTTTCTCTTTATCATGGAAACTCCTTGTCTGAGGTCTGGGTCTGACCCTCTCAGCACCTAGCAGTGTCCAGTTAAGGATGGGACACAGGACGGGCACTAGAGTTTGTTAAATAAATGAACAAATGAGCAAAATTGAAGCAAACATTGACTAATGCCTCGAATTAGTAAAACCTAGAGCTATTCTTCTGTTACCGGGTGCTGGTGGAAACGGAGCTCCCACCCTGTGCCTGCTGGTGCGCTGAACAAAACCCCTTACGTCCAAGTTCTGGGGTCACCACGGGGGGGACGGCCAGGGCTGTGCTGTGTGGTCTGTCATATCGCTGTCCCTCTGTAGTGGACCCTCATAAGACAGGGACAGGAATCCTCAACCTCTCAATGAGGACGAATAAACACCAAGACGACCAGGGCCCCCCGCGCCCCAAGGCAACCCTAGGTTTTGCTAATTCGAGGCATTAGTTAATGTTTGCTTTAATTTTGCTCATGTTTCTTTTCCAGACACACTTTTTATTGAAAAGGGAAACTTTCACCACTATTCTAAGTGGACAACCAGGACCCCATGCCATAATGAAGGGAACAGGGGAGAAAATAAGGCAACAGCTATGTTTTTATGCCACCAGACCCTGCACATGTAGGTGCATCATGTCTGAACACCGAGCTGCTCGTAAAAATGGGAGCTCAGCTGGGGTCCAAGGGAACTGGAGGCATTTTAGCACCAAATGGGGCCTTATAATTCCGACAGAGAGAAGAGGCTCGTGGAGGGATCCGACGTTATTTCGCTGCCAATACCAATCGCCGAAGCAACCCCTTTGGCCGCATTTTGCAGGCCCTTCCTCCTCCCATTTGTGGGGTTCACCTTCCTAGTTACCCGGAAGCTTGAAGGCCAGAAGTCACTATCAGATGATCCCTCTTGCTGCACAAATGGAGAAACTGAAGCCAAGACTGGGGCAGACCCAGGACCGGCTCAAGCCCAGTCCTCAGTCCCTGCTCAGACCCATTGATGGCGCCCTGTCAGCCACCAGCTGCCGGAGTCCAAAGCCCTTGGCCTGGAATTGCCTTTCCACACTCATCTCTCAGCTTCCTCCCTGCCTCGCCCGCAGAACAGCAGACAAGGCGATGACCTGCTGCACCTTCCCGCCGTCGCACAGTTCCACCACCCGGCTGCCAGCCTGCATTTCTTTCCACCCATCCAATACTTCCACCTCTCAAGGGTCACCGCCAGACCTCCCTCCTTCCAGAACCTTCTCAGACCCTCCTCAAACTCTCCCTTCCCTGAGGTTCACGGTGGATCCCTCCAGCTCCCCAGGAATCTGTTTCCTCTCTTTCCACATCTATAGTTGTACTTTCAAGGTTCGCGAGTCAAACGCTCCCTTTATGCACTGATTCACTTGGGGCCAGTGACTTCGCCTCGCTGGGCCTCAGTTTTCTCAACTGACAAATGGGGACAGTGACAGCACCTACCTGCCAAGAGTTTTGGTGACAGGAGGTTAGTACAGAGCTGGACACAGGGCTCCCTGCCCGGTAGGGGTGCTCAGCAAACAGCCCAAACAGCCCCACCAGCACCAGCCAGGGGATCCTCGGGTGAGGCTGCACCAGGCACCGCTGACCAGGCCAGCATCTGGGGCTGACTCGCAGCCAACTGCTGGCCCATTTCCCAGACCTGGCAAAGCCCCCAGCAGTGTCTGCCTCCCCAGGCTGGGCGGGCAGCCGAGGGTCCGTCTGAGGAGGGGCTGTCTCGGAGGGTATTTCTAACACAGATTAATGATGTCCCTTTCCGGCTCACACTCCCTCCATGGCTCCCGAGTGCCCTCTAGGCCTCCAGCCCTGCTCTGGCCCAGTGGGGCTACAGCATCCCTGTCTGGCTTGATCTCCCCTGGCTGGAGCCTCCTTCAAGCCAGCCAGAGTCCCAGTGTCACCCCACAAAGAGCCACCACCACAAACAATCGATTTAACAAAACGGACATCCCAGAAGCCTTTCCTGGGTCCCAGGAAGGGGAATCTTATCCCCCGTTGGGAATAAAGATTGGGAAACTGAGGCTCCAAGAGGCCAAGTCACCTTTCCAAGAGCCCCCAGCCTGAGCCCACCTCAAATCACACACTCAGCGCTTATTCACTGTGCATGAGCCTATCTCTTGGTGGTGGGGTGGGAGGGGTCGGGGGTGGCTTCTATTTTCTCTTTGCTGATCTGAATTTTCTCCAGGGAGCTTGCATGCCTCATGCAATTAAAAAGAAATGTTAAATAAATGTAGGTGCCGTTGTCAGGGTTCCAATGCGTGGGCAACGTGATTGATCCTCAACCGGTCAGTAGGTCAGTACCCGTACACAGAGCTGCCCACAGGGTCTCAGAGAGAGGCAGCCCCTATGGGGGTCACACAGCTATTCAGAGGCAAATCTGGAGACTGACCTTTGGGGAGGGGGACAGGTCAGGTCCCCACAGGTGGCAAGGGGGTGTGGCCCCTTTAAGAAAGCAAGGCCAGTAAGAAGAGCCCCAACTGGGGAGGGAGAAAGGAAGGGAGCAGGGCCAGTTGCTAGGGGCAACCAGTTGCCTAGCAACGGACTTCCTCTCTGCTAGCTCAGGGCCAGCAACTGGGGAAGGGGCTTTCTGCCCTGGTCCTTCCTAGACTCTCCTGGTCACACATCCTCGGTTGCTCCCCATTGGCCTGGCCCTGCAGGAGGAGTCCGGTGTCCTCTACTAGCCAGCCAGTGTCACACCTCTGGGCTTTCGTCCAGGCTGTTCCCGTGCCTGGAATGCCTGGGAAATCTCAGCCTTCAAAGCCCACAGCAAACATGGCTCTGTCCTGGCTCCTCCTCTGGGTGCCTCCAAGGTACAATAGGGCTGGAAGTGTCAGGCTGGCTCTGGGTCCTCCAGACTCGGGGCTCCCTGGGGTCAGAGTTGGGGTGGAGTCTCTTGGGGGGAAGCATTCCCCGGAATTGGCTGGGTGTGCAATGTTGGTGGCCGGGATGGAGAGTGTGCATGAATGAATAAATGAAAACAAGTCCATCTCGCTTGGCCCCCTGGGTCACAGTAAGTAGTCCCCAGCTTGGAGGGCAAATGGGTGGGGTGGCCATGAACTCCCCCCACCCCCACCCCCAACTCTCCAGGATGGGAAAGACAGGGAAATTCTCTGGCTGGAATAATGCTGGATCCTGGAAGTTCTATCTGGCCCTGGGTTTGAGCCCTGATCCTGCACTTTCTCACTGGGCAACCTCAGGTAAAAGAGTCCTACTCTGAGCCTCAGTCTCTCTGTTTTTCAAGCTGTGACTTGCCCAAGGTCACAAGGCCCATTTGGTCTGGGGGTGTAGATTCACGCCCAGCCTGCCTCTTCCCTTTAACTCCTATTCCTTACAGACTCTCCACTTGCCCAAGATTCTGCCCACAAGTTGCCAGGTCCCCCCACCTCCATAAAAGCCCTTTTAGGAGAACCCACCAAAATAAGAGTGGGTCATACTTACCCAAAAATGCTCCCCGAAATACGACATCCTGATGCCTTCTATGGAGACCCCTGCAGACTCCTGTCTAGTGCCTGTCTGAAGAGAGAGGCAAGTTTGAGCTGCAAAGTCACGGATATTCCAACTGTCCTCCCTGTGGAGGAGAGAGAGAAGACAGTGGGGGAACCAACAGCTGGGAGCATGCCAGGGCTCCTGAGATGGCTCAGTCCTAGGCCAAGTAGCCCCAGTCTAGGAGGACAAAGCTGGATACAGATGCCCCAAGTTCTGTGGGGTTAGATAGAGGGCTAGGGGCTAGGGGAACCTAGACTAGAGGAAGGGGCAAGGGAACTGGGGTTCTTAAGCACAAATAGGAGTTCACTGTTGAGAAGGTTATTGGATGAGCCCTAGACCGGGGAGAAAAGTTCTTGGCCATTTTATTTTTAAATATGTTTTTTAAAAAATATATATTTTATTGATTTTTTACAGAGAGGAAGGGAGAGGGATAGAGAGTTAGAAACATCGATGAGAAAGAAACATCAATCAGCTGCCTCCTGCACACCCTCTACTGGGGATGTGCCCACAACCAAGGTACATGCCCTTCACCGGAATTGAACCTGGGACCTTTCAGTCCGCAGGCTGACGCTCTATCCACTGAGCCAAATATTAGGGCTTAAATATGTCTTTAAATAGATTTTTAGAGAAAGAGAAAGGGAGGAGAGAGAAAGAGAAATATCGATCAGAGGAACATCATTGATCGGCTGCCTCCTGCATGCACCCCTACCGGGGATCGAGTCTACAACCTGGACATGTACCCTGACCGGGAATTGAACCAGTGACCTCTTGGTTCCTGGGTCGATGCTCAACCCCTGAGCCACACTGGCTGGGCTTTGGCCATTCTATTGATGGGAGAACAGGCCCCATCCCTGAGGGGAAAACACTTGCCCAGGTCACACAGTGAGGAACGGATAGATTTGCACTCTGAGCCCGCTGAGTCCAGTCCTGAGCACTCAGCTCCACACTGGGCAGCTCCTGTGGGAAAAGGGTTTGGTGAGAAATGGACACTGGGGCTGTGGTTAGCAGCATGGGTGTTGGGGTCCCTTGGGGTCTCCTGAATCCCTCTACAACAGCCCCCATGTCACGCATGCTCCTGGAATGGAGTGCTCACCCCTCACCCAGGTGCTATTGGCGCCTCCAGGAGTCCTAACCCTACCCCCCGGAAGCCAGTGTTCACCTGGTACCTGAGTCACTGTCCGGCTCTATGCCTCAGTTTCCCCATCTGCAAAACAAGAGAGAATGCCGAGATGGGGTCTTGCTGGGGGGACCCCAGGTCTCCCTGAAGAGGGGGTGGGTCAGGCCACCTGGCGACGGAGGGACACTTGGTGTCCTTGGCATGTTCTCCAGGCCGGGCTTGTCACTGGAGCCTGCTGCCCCATTCATAATTCATGACTCCGCAGGCAGCTCAGCAGCAGCTGGGAGCCCAGGACGCACAGTGGCAACAGGGACAGGGCTGGTGACCGCAGGATTGGCAAGCTCCCTGGGCCTTACCAGGAAAGGACTGAGCAAGGACCTTGGACAAGGCTGCCCCTTGCTGGACCTCAGTTTACCTAATCTTGAAAGTGAGTTTACCTTGATCCATTATCATCTAGCCCCAGCCCCTTGACTTTACCCAGCACCCACCATGTGCCCACAGGGCCAGGACAATACCAGGATCTGTGAGATGATTCAGCCCTGGGCCTGCTCCCCGAGGAGCCCCCCAGTCTAGGGGAACAGAACTGGTTACAGACACCTGGTCCTGCAGGGCCACGGCTGGGCCAAATGGAGGAACAAGAACTGGGGAAGCCTGGACTGATGAAGGGAGGCATGGGTGTTGGGTTAAAAAAATATATATATAAATATATATATATATTTAAATATATTTTATTGATTTTTTACAGAGAGGAAGGGAGAGGGATAGAGAGTTAGAAACATCGATGAGAGAGAAACATCGATCAGCTGCCTCCTGCACACTTCCCACTGGGGATGTGCCCCCAACCAAGGTACATGCCCTTGACCGGAATCGAACCCGGGACCCTTGAGTCCACAGGCCGATGCTCTATCCACTGAGCCAAACCGGTTAGGGCAAAAACATAAATATTTTTATTGATTCAGAGAGGAAGGGAGAGGGAGAGAGAGATAGAAACAACAATGATGAGCGAGAATCATTGATTGGCTGCCTCCTGCGTGCCCCTTCCTGGGGACGGAGCCCGCCACTAGGGCATATGCCCTTGACCAGAATCCAACTATGACCTCCTGTTTTGTAGGTCAATGCTCAACCCCTGAGTCACATCAGCCGGGCAGGTGCTGGGGTTTTAAAGCATGAATAGGAGTCCAGGCGCGCGCACACACACACACACACACACACACACACACACACCAAATTGATTCAACAAACATTCCCAACCTCCACCCTGGTGATGCTGGGACTTGTGAGAACCTTCAGTGCCCAGTGCAGCCCCTGAGGAACCCAGCCCGTCACGCTAGGCTGACATCCCAAAAAGGAAAAGCCGTAAATGTCTATCTCATTTCTTAGTTTCTGGCCATGATCTAGACTCTGAGCATCTCTAAATCCCTTAGAGCTAGGCTGACCGACATAGGAACCACTAGCCTCATGTAGCAGCTTTTTTATTTTTTATTTTTAATCCTTACCAGAGGATATGTTTTTCATTGATTCTAGAGAGAGAGGGACGGAGAGGGAGAGAGAGAGAAACACCGATGTGAGAGAGAAACATTGATCAGTTGCCTCCCGTGCATTACGTGCCCTGACCCACTTGGGTATGTGCCCTGACCAGGAATCGAACCTACGACCCTTTGGTGTACAGGACAATGCTCTAACCAACTGAGCCATACCGGCCAGGGCTGTAGCCACTTCATTTTACTGTTGTTGTTGCTGTTGTTAATCCTTACCCGAGGAATCGGTTGCCTCTAGCACGTGCCCCAATGGGCTGGGATAGAACCTACAACCCAGGTATATGCTCCTGACCAGGATCAAACCCAAGGCCCTGTGGGGTGCAGGCCAACGCTCTAACCACTGAGCACACCGGCCAGGGTTAGCCACTTAATTTTAAACTAAGTAACTAACTTTTACATGAATCCCCTCATTTGTGCCAGCCTTGCTTCCAGGGCTCAGCAGCCACACAGGCTGGCAGCTGCCATGTAGGGCAGCACAGATAGAGACGTCCGTGAGTGCTGTTTTCGAGGATCCCGGGAGCCACCAGGCCCAAGTTCCACAGAAACCAAAAATCCCGATACTGCTTTGACAACTCCGATTAGATTCCTCCCCTGCAGTGAGTGCCAGTGTGTGTGTGGCGCTGTGCTCAGCTCTCACAGGTCCCAGTTCATTTAACCTTCGCAACCACACGGGGGGAGCAATCCCAACGCAACATACGAGGAAATCGAGGCACAGAGCGGTCACTCACTGTCCCCAGGCCACTGTGATTTTGTCCGTGGCCTGTCTGCCAAAGGGCTCCTGTTCAGAACCGTCATGGGTGGCTCTGGGCCCCCACGTCCCCTCTCCTGCCTGGCCGCCCACCACACCACTCGGAACAGTAACAGGAGGCAGCCCGCAGGCTCGGCCAGGCCCAGGAAGTGACACCTGCTGATTCTGAAACCCAGGAGGCAGAGGGGTACCCTTACTGTCCCTGAGGGGGGCAAAGAGGGGTTGCGGGGCCTCCCGGCGGGGCTCAGACTCACCAAACAGCGCAGCCAGTGGGGCCTGGCTCCGTCAGACAGGGCAGGCACCAGACACACGCAGCCCCTGCCACTTCCGCCAGGCCGAGGCCGTGGGTGTGGGGGACAGGAAGCGCACCCGCCCCGCCCGCCGCCCAACTGCCACCTCACCTTCCCCTCCCAGAGCAGCACCCTTGGGACCTCTCTGGACCGGAGCAGGCCACAGACAGGCAAACTGAGGCCCCTGGATCTACAGCCCTCAGCCGAGGGCTGTTAACCAACAAATCGTAATCATGACGATTGTGAAACAATGAAACCCACAAAGTGAGTACCAGTCCTGGGCTAAGCATTCCACAGCTCACCATCCGAGGTGGGCCAGTGACGCCTGCTCACAGATGGAGAAACCGAGGCTCAGAGAGGGCAGCCCACATGTCCAAACTTGCACAGCTAACGAATGGCAGTGCTGAGACTCAACCCAGGGTCTCATTAGGACTTTCACAGGCTTGGGGCAATTTTGCCTCCCTCGGCCCCAGGTTCCATTCAGAAAATAATGTAGCCCAGCCAGCGTGGCTCAGTGGTTGAGCATCCACCTATGAACCAGGCGATCATGGTTCGATTCCCGGTCAGGGCACATGCCCAGGTTGTGGGCCCAACCCCTAGGGGTCACACAGGAGGCAGCTCATCAATGATTATCACTCGTCATTGATGTTTCTATCTCTCTCTCCCTTTCCCCTCCTCTCTGAAATTAAAAAAAAAAAAAATTTTAAAGAAAGAAAATAATTTGTACTATATTTTACAGCTACATTGGCATAAAGACAAATATATTGATATCATATGTTTAAATGTTTTCTTTGATCCCACAGCTCATTTTTCCCCTTCTGATTTTAAAAGAAGTCAAAACATCTTCAGGGACCCCTGAAAGTAATACACCAGAGAGAGACACGGTGGTCATGGCATCTGTCTCCTGGCCTCAGTAATGCCAGTGCAAAGCCCAGAGATAGGCAGGGACTTGCCCAAGGTCAAACAGCAGGTAGTCAGCTGACCAGGATGCCCCCCAGCTCCTGGCTGCTAGAAGCAGGGACAGAGTCCTCCCTGGGGATGTCTGACATGAGCCCTGGCCACCTCCTGGAGATGAATCCTGCCTCCCCAGCACCAACTCCCCCAAACCTGGGGCTCTGTGCCTGGTCTGGTGTGAGGCCCGGGCCCAGGACAGGAGCCCAGTCAGCAAAGAAAGTCAGACTTTGGCTGCTGGCCTCCGGCTGGGTGACCTTGGGATGCCCCTGACCTCTCTGGGTTTCCTGAGTTTTGTGAAAACAGGATCTGCCATTTTGCTCCCCTCAATGCGTTTGCTCACAGTAGGGCCAGTTCAGGGTCTTC